CGGCTGTGCTCTGATGTCCATCGATCCCACCTTCGTCGCCAGTGTTAAGTTGTGGGCGAACATAGCAGACGACACAGCGATTTCTCCAAAGCAGCTCTTTATTTGTAAGCTGGAACAGAACTGAACAGCAAACAGCTCAGCCGGCCTGCTTTTATAGGCAGCCGGCTGTCAACATTGTAGCAACAACAACCCAGGGTTTCCCACCTAAAATAACTGACATGGACCTGAGTGAAAACTATCTACAGTATCCCCCTGCTGGCCCAGGGTGAGAACTTCAGTACATAACAGGTTTGATAAAGATTTTGAATAGATCTTGGCAAGAGGAACAATACAGGAGGACATGCGCTGCCAATTTGACCTCTCCAGAGTGCCTGGGGCACCTGCATTCATAGCAAGGGATTTATGTCTTTCCTCCAGAACCGCTGAGGAAAGGATATTTAGGAGTATAAAGGCCCAATTGTATATCAAGTCCCCAAAATACCTTTGTTATCTTACATGACCAGCACATATGATAAAAGGTACCCTCCTTTTCTTTACACTTCCAACAAATATTGCCACTTGTTCTATACATTTTGGATAACTTAGTAGGAGTCAGATCATTTTAATATAATTTTCTTTCAGCGTACAACACGCTGTGAATTTCAGTTCTGTTCTCCTTAGCCTCTCCCAATCTGCCATTTGTTATGTTATGTCCTAAGTCCTTTGTCCAGTTTATCATAGCCAATTTAACCTGTTCATTCTTTGTACGCCATTCTAGGAGCAAGTTATATATTTTTGACAGTTTTGATATTATTGTCTAGGAGTTCTTTTTGGAATCTTGATATCTCATAACTAAAACCTCTCCTTTTATCTATCTTGAAGATATCATTCAATTGAAAATACTGTAACCAATCTGTTACTAGTTCCCTTATCTCTTCAAAATCTTTTAATTTTAACTGATTTTCCAGTTTGGTTAGCAGCTCTCTATAAGTCGGCCAATTACTACTTATATTCACTTTTCTCAAAAATATTGCTTCCAAAGGGGAAAGCACCAAGGGTGTTTTTTGCTCAAATTTTTATACTTTCCCCATACCCTAAAGATTGATTTTCTTATTATATGGTTCTGAAATGCTTTATGGACCTTTGTTTTTTCATACCATAGGTATGCATGCCATCCAAATCTATTATCATGTCTTTCTAAATCTAGAATGTCTGCACTTTCCAGCATAATCCAGTCCTGGATCCAGCAGATACAGGATGCTTCATAATAAAGTTTCAAATCCTGCAAGGCGAAACCTCCTCTCTCTTTTGCGTCTGTTAATAATTTATATTTTATCCTTGGTTTCTTCCCCTGCCAGATAAACCTAGATATGTCTTTTTGCCATTGCTCAAAGCATCCGGCACTGCCTATTACCGGGGCTGATTGAAATAAAAATAACGTTCTTGGCAGTACATTCATTTTTATCACTGATATTCTAATCCACACAACAACCCTGTGAAGTAGGTTAGGCTGAGAGGCAGTGTCGGCCCCCAAGGTCACATGCAGTGAGTGTCATGGCCAAGTGGGAATTTGAAGCCTGCTCTCTCAGGTCCTCTAAGTGATATGTCACACTGTGACAACTGATTTATTTTGGGGGACTCTCCAACCCATGCACAGAAGGTAACACACTTTCCCAATCCACATATAGTGTACTGGTCTCAGACAATTCTTTTGGCACCCTGAATAGGGTGGGAGGGGACAGGAAAATTGTGGAATATGTGTGTTTGATTGGTCTTTGTCCTTAGATTTGCATTCTAAAAGAAGCAGCATGAAAGAGGAGGGAAGGAAAGCAAACTCAGGCTCCAGTTTCTTAAGGTTACAGAGTTCTTATAACAACCAGTTGGGATAAATACCATATTTTTCACTCTATAGGACGCACTGGACCATAGGAGGGGGAGAACAGGGGGGGGGGAATTCTCCCCCTCTCTGCTCAGCGCCCCTTCAATGAAGCGGCAGGAGAAACGGAGCCCCTTCCATTTCTCCTCCCGCTTCGCTGAAGGGGCGCTGCACAGAGAAGGAAAACTGTGCAGCGCCTCTCCAGCGAAGCGAAGCCTGGAGAGCAAGAGGGATCGGTGTGCACCAACCCCTCTCGCTCTCCAGGCTTCAGACGGCTATCTGCAAGCCTTTGGAGCACAGCGGGAACTCCTGCTGTGCTCCGAAGGCTTGCGGATAGCTGCCTGAAGCCCCCGGAGCACAGCGGGAGTTCCCTGCGCTCCGAGGGCTTCAGGTGGCTTCAGCGAAAGCAACGCGAAGCCTCCGGAGCGCGGGGGAGCTTCGCGTTGCTATCGCTGAAGCCAAGGAGCCTGTATTCACTCCATAGGATGCGCACACATTTCCCCTTCATTTTTGGAGGGGGAAAAGTGCGTATAGAGCGAAAAATACGGTAGAAACCATTCAGTGAGGTGGGTGGAGGAGTTAGAGGGAACTGGTGTCTCAGTAGAATGTTCCTGCTTTGGGGGGGGGGAGTTGTACTCTGGACTACAGCAGGGTGGGGGAAGGTTGAAGTGCCCCTATACACCTGGTGCAACCCCATACCTGTGGGGATTTGAACCCACGCTGATGCTGCTTGTAGTGCAGACACAGTCTCTGATTTCTTGGAAAGAACCCTGGCGACCAGTTCCAGTCAGGCTGGCAGACAGCAGTCCTGAACCCTCTTCAGAAACTGGGTTTTGCCCCACAAGACCTTCTAAGCCTGGGCTTGGGCCAAGCAAAAGCAATGGTTAGGCAAAGAATTATAGACACTGAGAGACAACAGGACTGCGCAAGGTGCCCCAACTGCAAAATGGTAGAACTTGAGAGAGATATAGCTGCACCAGCAACATATCTCTTTTTTCTTGTATCCAAAAATGCAAGAAGGGCTTTTACACTTGCCAGAAGCTCAGCTTTGCCCTTGCCAATCTTGAAAGGATAAAAATCTAATGGTAAGGATTTGCTGAACCAATAAATTGAAGTGGAATACAAAAAAGGGAGGTATGAGGTGGTCCGGGAAACAAGCTAAAGGAAAATAAGTAATGGAAAATCTGTGTGTTTTTAATTTTTAATTGTTTTTATTTTGTATTTTTCTTTTTTTTCTTTTCATTTTTATTGTAATATTTTAAAAAATCTTAATAAATATCTTATAAAAAATAATAATGAAAGGATCCTTTAAAAAAGTCCCATATGACCAGAGAATTTGCGCCTGTCCATTGGGGGACATAGGAAGCCCTGAACACATATTTTTTAGATGTCCCTTTTGAGGCACGTAGAGAAACCATTGAGCCCCTGCTGGTGAGGATTGCTGACCTCCCAGTAAAGCAAAAATCCGATCTTCTCCTGTTAGGCAAAGACCACAAAATGACCCAGATTGTCGCCAGATTCTGCTCACAGATCTGTAGGTGCAGACCATCCCCCAATTCAATCTAGTTTGTTAAGAAAATTCACAGACTCGGATCCACGAGCGACTCTGGGTCATTTCTCTAAGGTAGTCTATCTTAAAGTTTTTATGTGTTTATATGCCTATCACACTTTTAAACTTAGAATCCATTGTTGTATATTATTTTAAATGTTTGTTTTGCTATTGGGATTGTAGTCCCATTTGTGTTTCTCAAGCTGGTTTCTGACCGTAATAAATTTTATGTATGTATGGAAACCCTGGCGAGGAGGGGACTTAGGCAGCAGGCTGGCACTATGGGGAGCTGGGTCCAACAACGTCTGCCGTATTTTTCGCACCATAGGACGCAGTTTTTCCGTCTTAAAAACTAAGGGGAAAGTCTGTGCGTCCTATGGAGCGAATGCAGGGGGGGGAGGCAAGCAGGAAAAGCCCCCAAGAGCCACACACAAGCTTTGCGCGGCTCTTGCGGGCTTTTCCCCAGGAGGGAGAAGGGACTGACGCGGCCAGTCAGTCCCTTCTCCCTCCTCTAGAAAAGCCTTGCGCAATCTCTCCAGTCATGGGAGGCTGCGCATGGCTAAAGAGGAAGCCCGGGCAGCGAGCGCGATCCATCCCGATCGCTGCCCGGGCTTCCTCTTTTGCCTAGCACGCCTCTCCAGCCGCAGGAGGCTGCTCAAGGCTAAAGAAGCCAACTTTTTAAAAATCTCTCTATCTCTACCTCTTTTTCTTTTTTCGTCCTTTCTCCACCCCCTTATTTTCCTCTGGATCAGTGTTTTTATCTAGATTAACGTTTTAGTTTGGAGGGGGGGAATGTTATAAAAAAGGAAACTTTGCAGCTTTTATTTTAGTATACAATAAAAACAGATTAAACAAAACACAAGAGAAGGAACTAGCATAGAAGAAGAAGAGAAAAGGGAAAGAGGGAGGATACAAAGCCATTTACCAGAGGTAGATCTTAACCCTTGCCTCACCTGGGAGCTTCTCTGGGCAGGAATTCCCTCGGCTTAAGTGGGGTGAGGGAAGAGTGGCAGGTAGGGGGGTACCTACCTAGACAGTGAAGCCACATGTCTCTCCAATGAAAATTGGGAGTGGGCATTGTGTGAAGTGGCTGTGGATCTCCTGCCGCAGAAGTGTAGGACTGTATAGAGTTGGGAGGGCCACCCGAGGGTCATCTAGCCCAGCCCCCTCACAATGTAGGAATCACAGCTAAAGAACGCCAGGCAGATGGTCCCCCAACCGCTGCTTAAAAGCCTCCAGTGGTGGAGACCCCAAACACCTTCCGAGGTCACAGAATTGCAGGGTTGGAAGGGAACCCCAGGAGTCATCTAGTCCAGCCCCGGTGGACAGCAGGCACGATCCATCCCGTTGTGCAAGGCTAAAGATGCTGCTCAAGGCTAAAGAGGAAGCGCGCAGCCTGTCCGTTGGTCTTTGGGGCTGGGGGGGGGGAATAATATTTTTGTCCTTGATTTCCCCCTCTAAAAACTAGGTGCGTCCTGGGGTCCAATAGAGCGGAAAATACGGTATATGGGCTGGACCTTTGGTCCATGGGGCTTCCCTTGAAGTGAGAACCTAGAAGAGGTTTTGTAACAACTCTGTTTTATTCCTTCTTTTTAGAACCAGAAGCATTGCTACTTGCAGCTAAAGACCACAAGATTGATGCTGACCTCTCAGGTGATAAAATCCACACAACAAAACCAAAGTAAGTGCCTGCCCCTAATCCTAAGATTTAGATCTGCATTTGCTGCTGGGCCAGATTCAATGTGTTACTATGAAGCCCTTAAAATCTTTGGGACCAGTTTACCTGCAAGATCGTCTTACCCTATATACTCCCACTTGACTGCCTTGATCTATGTAACTCGCACTGTTACAGTGGCTACAGAATACCATTCTGCATTTGTAAGGAACTGGTCTTTTAGCATGGCAGGACATACCCTTTGGAACTCCCTTCAGATTGACATCAGGCAGTTGTCTTCACCGTACTCCTTTTCAGTGCCTGCTTAAAAGGCTTTTTGTTTAGACAAGTCTACCCAGATATGTAGACGGCTGGCGTGTTTAAATCAATTTTTGGCCCATTTTAATTATTTTTCCAATCTTTCAGTAACTGTTTCCCCTGAAATTTCTATTTCCTTCATTTTGTAGAATGCTTGGTCTACAAAAGCAGTACTGTGTGTGTGTGTGTGTGTGTGTGTGCGTGTGCGTGTAACAAGCAAGCAGAGCTGGATATAGTTGTACAAAAAGTGGTTTGCCCAGTGACAAACTTTTTTAAAAAGACTGCACAACATTTTGCATGCTCCTAGGGAATAAACTGCAGTTTGAAATCAGTGGGGATTTATTCTGCAAGCATGTGGAGCTTTGCACTGTGAGTCAGAGGGGAGGGTGCTTGAAGGCTTAGGTCACCTTGACAGTCACACCTTTCTCTTCCTGGGAAACTCTGCCTGAGATGGGTTTGCATTTGAAGCTGAAGCTACCATATTCACACTTCCTGAAGCATTACTAAACCTGAAACAGAGCATCTCAAATCTGTACTCATGCAAATTTTGTGCCGCAGTTCTCCAACCAGAAAATGTTCACAAAAATGCATGTGCTAAGGTAGAGCTTGCATTAAAATACATATATGTTGCTGCAGAAATGTGGAGAACTGAATTTAAGACTGGAAAAATGGAAAAAAAACGAGATAACTGAAATTGGCAGAACTTTCTATCCCTACTCACAGAATAGCCTGTGCTGAAATTGGCAGAACTTTCTATCCCTACTCACAGAATAGCCTGTGCTGTGACCCTTCCAGGGTTTCTGTCTGGCAATGATAACCAATTTGGGGGCGGGGTGGGGTGGGGGTGGGTCACATTTCAGGCCAGAAACATTTCCAGGCTTTCCCTGAACTCTGCTCAGCGAAGATATTGGCAAACAACCTCTCTCTTTCTTTCTGATAAGGATGACACTCTCCAGAGGGAAGACAGCTCTGCTATCGATTTCCTTCTTGGCAATATTATCACTGGCAATTTTTGCTTACCTGGACAGGTAAGTAGGAAAAGGGATCCTGGCATCCTAGAAATCAGTTAGAATGTACTGTTCTTACAAGAAGCAAGTGTTTAGGACAGGGGTCAGCAAACTTTTCAGCAGGGGGCTGGTCCACTGTCCCTCAGACCTTGTTGGGGGGCCGGACTATATTTTGAAGGGGAAAAATGAACGAATTCCTATGCCCACAAATAGCCAGGAGATGCATTTTAAATAAAAGCACACATTCTACTCATGTAAAAACACCAGGCAGGCCCCACAAATAACCCAGAAATACATTTTAAATAAAAGGACACATTCTATTCATGTAAAAACATGCCGATTCCCAGACCATCCACAGGCCAGATGAGAAGGCGATTGGACCAGATCCGGCCCCCAGACCTTGGTTTGCCTACCCATGGTTTAGGATCAAAGACACCCAACATCTTGTTTCTCATTATAGATGGAGAAGAATTAGGCTTGGTCAGCTTTTAACGATTTAATGATTTTATCTGCAGCTCTTTGACTAAAGCAAGATGGATAAAGCATGCCATTTGTACTTTTTCTTCTTTAGAAAAAGTTTTCTGAAATATTATTCCACGGCAACCTGACCTTGCCATGCTTTTGTCTAATAACAATAACAACAACAATAATAATAAATTTATTATTTATACCCCGCCCATCTGGCTGGGTTTTCCCAGCCACTCTGGGTGGCTTACAACATATCTAAAAACAAAAAAAAATCATCAGTCCTTAAAACTTCCCTAAACAGGGCTGCTTTCATCAGAAAACATTGAAGCTCCAATTTGGGGCTACTTCAGATCTGTGCTTAAAATTATAGTGCCTTGGTAAAGAGGAAAAATAATTGTGCTGCCTTTTCTCTCTCTGATTGTGCCTGAAAACATATGGGGCGTGCATATACATATATTCAAGTGTCCAGATCACACACACAAGCAGAATGTCTTAATGCATCGGTGGTTTGCATTGCGAATCAAGACATTAAACATAAGTAGAAGTTGTTTAAGACAAGTTTGGGATTCAGCTAAAATTAACTGTTATAAATTTGTTCTTCTGGAGGATTTGGAAGATTCATATTTTTTTGGGACATCATTAGACACCGTAGCTCTGGAAGCACAACTTTAATGCTATAAGAATGTTGCCATTTTGCTAACTCTGGTAGGCTTCATGCATCCACCATTCCATTGGAATTATTTATTCCATTCATATTAATTTTAGTTACGAATCTTAACTGTTGGAGGGTGCTTCTGGATATTTAGGTCCACACTCTGCTTTCAAGCTGTGTATTCCGTTTTCATAATTTGTCCTTGGTGGCCCAATATTAATGCCTGTCCACCTTGTCAGTGTCATGTCTTCGTCATCTTCGAGGCCCCAACTTACTGTGCCATGTAATAATAATAATAATAATAATAATAATAATAATAATAATAATAATAATAAATTATTTATACCCCACCCTCCCCAGCCAAAACCGGGCTCAGAGCGGCTAACATCAAATGTATAATACACCAACATAAAATCAGGCAATCAATTAAAATACATCCTAAAATCAGATCAGGATCAGAATAAAATCCAATCAGATGGCAACCCGCAAATTTGGGATGGGGACCTTAAATGCCCACCATGCCTAACTGTTTATACTGATCTTATATGAGCCTGTGAGAAAAGTTGGGGGGCACTTTCATACAAATTCTTATAAGGAGAGAGGGGGAGTCAGACTGGACCCCGACCAAAGGCCTGGCAGAGCAGCTCTGTCTTGCAGGCCCTGCGGAAAGATGTCAGATCCCTGCAGGGCCCTGGTCTCTTGTGGGAGAGTGTTCCACCAAGTCGGGGCCACAGCAAAAAAGGCCTTGGCCCTGGTCGAGGCCAGTCTAATCTCCTTGAGACCCAGGACCTCCAAGATGTTATTATTTGTGGACCGTAAGGTCCTCCGTGGGGCATACCAGGAGAGGCGGTCCCGTAGGTATGAGGGTCCTTTCTGACCCTGAAAAGTCACTTTCAACAAGTGAAAATTACAAGGGACTTTAATTGTGGATCCAGCTATCTTGTCCAAACCCCTCCCCCACCACCCAGGTTGGTCGGCAGTTTTTAAACAAACTGGCTTAATGTGCAGCAACGCATGGATTGTTAATACACTGGTCCCTCTCGATTTCACATTTCTCTGAATTTTGCAGTGCAGTTTTCAGCTCAAAAATAAAACAAAATACATTTAAATTGAATCAAATGTTAGAAATGTGTAAATCGAGATGAAATACATATTTAAATATATTTTGTCATAAAAACTTTTTTAAAAATACTTTTCAGATTATAATGCAGAAATGAGATGGAATGAATTTTGCATGAATTTACATGTAAATTTGATGAGGATTGGACATAGACAGAGCTGTCCAGCCTGACTTTTCACAGGACGTGTCAGTCTGACATGATGTATCTAAAGCACTTTGTCAAACCCATTCCCCCAAGTGCTATAGAAATGGTTGACACTACCATGCAGAGAGCAGCCTGCATCCACAAGTGCTGTTGTTTTGTTTTGAGCATTTGTACTCTGTTCTTCAGCTGAAAAGGCTCCCAGGATGGCTTTCATGCTATCAGTTAAAACAGTGGCTCTCACTCTGACTCGGCGACAGTTTCAGAATAAAAATTTGCTTGCCACACTGAATTTTTTACAGTGGTACCTCTGGATGCGAACAGGATCCGTTCTGGAGCCCCGTTTGCAACCAGAAGTTAACGTAACCCGCGCCCCCGCGTCTGTGCGTGCGTGGGTTGCGATTCGCTGCTTCCGTGCATGCGCCTGATCATCATTTTGACCGTCTGCGCATGCGCGAGCGGCAAAACCCGGAAGTAACGCGCTCTGTTACTTCCGGGTCACCATAGCGCACAACCCGAAAATACTTATCCCGAAGCTACTTCAACCTGAGGTATGACTGCATTGGTAAGAAACAACTCCTAGCAGAACTCCTAGAACACGACTAATTTATAATATGGTAATGGGACATTCAGAAAGTATAAATCAATGCAGCTACATAAGAAAATTCCCAGTAATATTGACTGTCCTTGAATCTTCCTGCCACACTTACCATCCTCTCCTGCCACACAGTGCGGCACATGACACGCCCTTTGAGAGTTACTGAATTAAAACAAGGCAGCCTCTTCTCTGAAGGCTTACAGTCTTAAGAAACATTCCCTGCAAGGGGAAAGGGGCAGGGGAGGGGAGAGGAAAAAGTAAAATGGGTACCAGTTATTAAACGCTTTTACCTAGTGGAGGTGGGTTTTGAGCAAAGCTAATGGGATGAACCCTGTGGCTTCCAATCCTTCCTAGTGAGACAGTTTGATGGAATGGCTGCCCCCAGGTGACATTTGAAGGAGAGGAGGCCCAGGCCTGATTACTTCTATTTCAGTTGTGGGGTGGGTTTGGTATGAATTTTCATTAGTTGCCACAGATTCCATGCCATCACATTTCCTCTCTTGAGAGTGGAAATCTAAGTTTGGTTAAATGCTATGCCAGGTTGTCAAATTGTTATGGAAAAATTTAGGTGCGAGGCTGCTCAGTCACCCAGCTGCTCGGGCAGAGCCTGCAGGTCCCTGCAGAATAAAGGAGGAGTCCAGCCACAAACCGGAGCAAATAGCTGTAGACCAAAATTTATTGCGCAACAGGTTCGAAGAGGAAATTTGAACCCCGAGGATGGGGTGACAAGGACTTTTAAAACTTTCCCATCATATCCCAGAATACAGTTCGTACAGCACCATTGCTACATCATTGCTACATAGCTTTGGAATGGAGGAAGCTGGCAAAGGAATTGATTTTATATTATTTTTAAAGCTAGGTAACTTCCCTGAGCTGTCAAGTTGAAAGGATACATTCAGGTATAATATTTGTAAATTTAACTTTAAAGACATGGCCCCCCCCCGTTATTTCTGTAACACAAATATAAAACTATCAAATTGTTGAAATATGGGAATAAAATATCATTATTAAAACGTTAATGAATATTCAACAAATAGCCTGATACACGAAGAATGTATCCAAGATGTGAACTTTAGCAGGGGAGAACTTGAGAGCAGATTCTGTTCATAGGAGAACAGAAAAAGTGCTTTTTACTGTGTGCAGCCAGTTTATCCATCTAGTTTAGTATTGTCCACACTGACTGGCAGCAGCTCTCCAGGGTTTCCAACAGAGAAGAATATTTCCCTCTCTCAGTCAGTTCTACTTGGAGATGGCAGGAGTTGAACCCAGGACCCTTTACATGCAAAGGAGATGCTGTACCACTGAGCCCTTCTCCTAATTAAGAGGTGGCTTGCTGGTCTGGGTGAAGGGAACGAGGATAGTCCACGGGGCTTGATCCTGCACACACATGTGTGGATTTGCTCAACATAGGATCATGTTAACCACAACAGGGGATTTATTCTCAAGAGGGCTGTACTGCCCTTCCAGCTTTGTGATATAACAAGAAGTCTGCAAGGAAATACATAACATTTTATTCCTGTTTTTGCAGTGATGGAACATTAATATGGATGTACAAGAACAGGTAAGCACCTGCTCTTTACTTTGCTAGCTCCTTTTGCTGACAACATGCAGAGGGGTCTCTGTCTTGCTCATGGTCTGTCTTGCTCATGGTTGCCAGGGTTCTTGGGCAAAAGGGAGGTCTTTTAACAATTCTTTTAAAGCAATTTCCCTACCCTACTCATTAGCCAAACAGGATCTTGGAGCAGTGTTCCAAAAATCTTTATGAAGAAAGTCCTTGTCCTAAAAGACATGGCACACGAGGAAGGGGAGATGAGAAGGGCAAAGGGGAAAAGCAAGCTCATAGACCTGGTGTTATGTACTGAGTTGAATAGGATAGCAAAATGCAGCAGTCTGATTGGTCCTAGAACAATAGGATTCAGAATGCAGCAGTCTGATTGGCCTACAGGAGAATCCCAGAATTAGCCAATCACGTGGGGCCCATTGTGTAAATAATGCATATAAAGCAGACATTCTGGGGGGAACTTCCATTCCTCCTCACCACTAGGAGCTGAATAAAGAGCATGAAATCCACACTCGACTCCGAGTATATTTCACCTGTGCAAATGGATAATATTTTGTTACACAGTTTTGTCAACACATATCTTGGCTGTCTTGAACAGCAACCCCTACCCAGGAGAACTGGTCCTTCCTTCCTTCCTCACCCCACCACCCCCAAGTTCAGATCAGGTGCCAATGTCTGGGCCAGGAGTTCAAGGGCAGGTGTCCTGCCACACAGCTCTTCCCTCGGGCTGGAGGTGTGGACAGCTTCTGCTTGTGCCCTACTGCAACATCAAACTGTTTCTGGTGATGCTGTGTCCCAAATGCACAAAACCACCTGCTACTCCTCAGCTGTGTACAAATAGCCTGGGTGGTCCCCATTCTGTGTCATGTCCCAGGAAGGAGGCATGGCGCCAAATTAGCCACAACACAGATTTTTGTCTGCCTCTTTTTCCAGAAGTCCATTTTAAATGAAAAGCCAGCATGGCAGGTTCAGGGGGAGGGGGCTGCTTAACCTTTCTTATCTTGCCCTTTACCCGCTAACACATACCCAGTGTGCTTCTCCATTCACAGGCAAACACCCCCAATATTATTTTCCCCCCTCCATAAAAGCTGTTGGATAGCAGGAGGGGATAGAAGGAGCAACTCCTCCATAAACACAGCCTGCTGACGCTGCTTTTTATTCCTATTTAGTTTGGGGAAGGGACGCGGGTGGCGCTGTGGGTTAAACCGCACAGCCTAGGGCTTGCTGATCAGAAGGTTGGCGGTTCGAATCCCCACAACGGGGTGAGCTCCCGTTGCTCAGTCCCTGCTCCTGCCAACCTAGCAGTTCGAAAGCACGGTCAAAGTGCAAGTAGATAAATAGGTACCACTCCAGCAGGAAGGTAAACGGTGTTTCCGTGTGCTGCTCTGGTTCACCAGAAGCGACTTAGTCACACTGGCCACATGACCCGGAAGCTGTACACCGGCTCCCTCGGCCAGTAAAGCGAGATGAGCCCCACAACCCCAGAGTCGTTCACAACTGGACCTAATGGTCAGGGGTCCCTTTACCTTTACCTGGTTTGGGGAAAGTGGCCCAGGTGTCAGATTTTGCCCACAGCTGTCTGTGCAGAATGAGATGTCTGGAGGTGCAGGCCGCTTGCTTGCTGGCTTGGGACATTGCCAAGCCATGTCAGGCTGAGCTATGGCACTCTGCCAAGGATAGAAATATGCTCAACCAGGAAGCACAATTTGTGTGTCTCCATCCCTCTGCTGCCAACCTTACGGGCCCATCTGCACCAACTGCCTTGCATCAAGTCAGGCAGTTCGCTCCATCTACCCTGGCATTGCCTAGAACCAGTATTTGCAATCCTGGGGCCTCCAGATGTTTTGGGTGACAGCTCCAAACATCTGGAGGGCAAAGCCTGGTCTCCTCTGACTGGCAGTTGCCCTCTGGGTGCTACCCAGGTACTGGAGATCTCCTCAGTTGCGCCTGGAGCCTTCTGCATGCAGAAAACAGGCTGTTGCCACTAGGTCTAGCCTCTTCAACACATCCTTCCGGGTTCATCTTCCAAGTATCTTTTTGTTTTCTCCTTACATATACAGGAGCCTAAAGATTTCCCAATTGAAAAACCAGACAGAGCAGTGGCTGGCCATAAGCAACTGGTTTAACTCAAGGTAAGAGGACCATATATTTATATGAGCCAAAACTGAAATCAGCAAGCCCTTTCCATAGTGGCCAAAGCTGGCCAGCCATACAGGAAATCAAACTGCAACTGGGACTTTTAACGTATTAGCATGTTGAGCTAATGTGCATTTGGTTGCTGTGCATTTGGTTGCTGGCTGTTGGGCCGGCCCTCTGCATAAGCTCAGAGGTACTTCCCTTGCTTTATATATTCCAGCACTCAGCCCTGATACTGAAGACTGGTTTGAGATCAGGAGACTCTGAGAACTTTGGACCTTTTCTATCTACATTTCCCCAAGGTGGTTTGCCTGCCACCCTCGTTATACACCTTTAGGTGCCAAGCAAAACATTCCTTTCCAGCCAGGCCTTTGGCTGATAAACACACCTTTTACTTAAATGTGTTTGTGGGAGGCAGTGCAAGGGAGGTGGGGTTGTTGATTTATGTGTTTGTTGTTTGTTTTAATCATATATTTTGTGCTTATATTGCATTTTTATATTGTGAACTGCTCTGAGTTCTGCAAATGACGGGTGGTATACAAATTTAATAAGTAAGTAAGTATGTCTATGGCAGGCTTCCTCAACCTCAGCCCTCCAGATGTTTCTGGCCTACAACTCCCATGATCCCTAGCTAGCAGGACCAATGGTCAAGGATGATGGGAATTGTAGTCAAAACATCTGGAGTGCTGAGGTTGAGGAAACCTGGTCTATGGTTCTATAAAGGCTATTTCGAGGCCCTTTTTATTTAATGCAGATGCAGCCCCGGCTTGTTCAGTGTAGACTGGCAAGGTTCTATTGATGCTTTGCTGCCCACAGTCCATATAATTAGTTGTTACCTTTGGTCCCTGCCTTTTGTTTTCAAGAGGCTAGTTACTTGCTTCCTGTTAACGGAGAAATCTGAGGGCTCCCTTGGACAAAAAACAAGGACACCAGCCAGGAATACCAGAGCAAAACATCAGCCAGTAGGCTTGGTCTTGATTGAGGACTGTCGTGACAGGACTCCCACCTGCCACAAGGTGGAACAAGATAGAAGCCCCGAATTAAAGAGCCCCCAAACTTTTATTAGCTGCTAATCCCCATGTTACATCCCCCCAAACTACATCACTCATACATCATGGTTACATCATGAAAGGGGAGGTCTGGTGACAGTAATCTGAGCATCCTGGACCCTGCCCCATGGTTCCCCTTGCCCTCCACCAAACACCCATTAAGTGTAACAAAAGAGATCTTTACATTTCCCTGTTTCCCAGCCAAGTGACTCACACCCTTTTGTCTTCATCTGAGTTTGTTATTTCTGGAACGGCTACCTGTCTGGCACTCAGGTATCAGGATGCCAGGAATTATGACTCAGGCATAGGGGCTGCTGAGTAGCTGAGCTCACATGTCTAGATGAATTTCTGAAGTTTTCCCAGTGAACCAGTACATAGATACATTTATCAGTGAATTATTACATTTGGTATTGTGCAGCAGAGGGCCTTTGAACAGATAGGAAGAAATTGTGTCGAAGTGTTTTATGGGGACAAATCACAAAAGCCACAAAAGTGATTGTGCTGATCTTAGTAGTGGGCTGCATGTGCATGACATCTGCTGGAGGGGCAACCCCCCCCCAACCTATACATAAATTCCTGCAACACTGTGTACAGTACTCTTGGTCAGTCCTGCTGTTCCTAATGGAGACCTTTAGTCCTGTCCTTTTCATCTGATTCATTTACCACAGATAGATAGATTAGATAACAAAACAGCTGCTGTTCTGGCTGCAAAGAGGGAGGCTACGGCTTGATTGAGAAGCCGGAAGCTACTAATCAAAGGTACAGTTGCGTGGAGTAGTGGAATCTTTGTTGAATGGGACCGTGAAGAATCTTGTCATGGGGAAAGATAATTTGCCAAATAATACAGCTCTTTCCTAAGTGCCATGTAGGGCTGCCCATTTAATTCTGCTTCTGGTTAGCTGTAGAACAGCAGTGGCCTCAGAAAAGCTCGAGCTTCCAGGGCTTCTCAGTTTCGTTTCATCTACTTACAGATACGAATTTGCGAATAAAGAACCAAAGGGGTTGTCATTGGACAGCTGGTTTGATTCACGGTAAGGAGAGAAAACCTTCTTTTTTTGTGGGGGCAGGGAGGCTAAGGGAAGTGGTGGAATGAGAGGAGAAGCTCTTGGTGCAATCAAAGCCTTTTACCCATAATGGCTTGCAACACAGGACTTACGCTATTACTGTGAAATCTGGAGAATGAGCTATTCACATTCCTCACCACACCCCTGAAATTCATCCTCTGACTTTTGTCAAGGCATAATTCCTGTACCGCTTCGTCCACTCACCCCTGCATCTGCAGAATGGGGATAATAACACAGGTCACCCTTGCAGAATTATTGTAAGGGTTGCTGGAATCACGCAATTAAATAAAATTGGAAGAGTATTGTTAATGATTGCATGCAGCTTCTGAGGGGCAGAAGGGAGCCTGCACAATTTATGGATGCAGGCAGGCAGCAGCTGGAATGAAGGTAGACTGCCTCTGTGTTTTGGAAGATCCATTCCCAGGACCAACATTATCCAAAATAGTTGTTGATAGGTATTCACTGTGGATTTATGTTGCCACCTGTGGCCAATACCATTGCGTCTGCCTGAGACATAGAATTCCAGAGGCTGATGTAGAGAATTCTGAACTCATTGTCTATCCTGGTTACTAGCCCCTAAGTGTGAGGATGTTGGGGGTAGTTAGAGCCCTTTTATTTGGCGCTGTGGGTTAAACCACAGAGCCTAGGACTTGACGATCAGAAGGTCAACAGTTTGAATCCCCACAATGGGGTGAGCTCCTGGTGCTCGGTCCCTGCTTCTGCCAACCTAGCAGTTCGAAAGCACGTCAGAGTGCAAGTAGATAAATAGGTACTGCTCCGGCAGGAAGGTAAACAGCATTTCCGTGCGCTGCTCTGGTTCGCCAGAAGTGGCTTAGTCATGCTGGCCACGTGACCCGGAAGCTGTACACCGGCTCCCTTGGCCTATAGAGCGGAATGAGCGCCGCAACCCCAGAGTCGGCCACGACTGGACCTAATGGTCAGGGGTCCCTTTACCCTTACCTTTACTTTCTGCTAGTTGAGGGGTAGGAGCCTTTGGGCTCAAAAGCAGAATAATAAAAACAACCACCACCACAGCAATCTATTTCTATTATGTGCCCTAAACCTCAAGATGTGTTGATTAGAAAGTAAGCAGAACTATGTGATTCCTGCATTGCAGAGGGTTGGAATAGATGACCCCTGGGGTTCCCTTCCAACTCTACAATTCTATGATTTAGGGCTTACTATAGCTTTGGGCTGTCTCTAAGAAAGTTTGAGGCAATCCAGCAACTATTCCTGGACCTCCTCACCTCCCCCTGTATGAAGTCTTCTCTACCTCCAGTTTATTCTGGGTTGCAGATAACTATTGGGAGGGATCCTTCCTGTTCTGCTTAATTTTGCACTTGGCAAACCAGTATGTGAAGTAAGGGCTCATCCACAGTTTCTCTTGACCTGTATTTTGATCGGCTTGTGTACCAAATATTTGCCCTCAGGCAAAGCTGAGAGCTTTTCTTGTTCTGCAGCTCAGCCTGGCAAAAATCCCATCTTACCTGCTGAATGGGATTTTATCTTATGTTATCTTTTCTGCCTTACTGATTTCAGACATTCACCTTCACTGTACGCTTTTCAGCACCTGCTAAAAACAATTTTGTTTAGGCAAGCCTACTCACATGATAAGGAAGTTGATGTGAGTTTTAGTGTGTTTTCAGTCTATTGTTATTTTAACTTTTCAAAAGTTTTTAGTTAATGCTGTTCATCTTTCTTATTGGTAATGTTAATGCTTCATGCTTTTCGTAAACCTTTGAGGGGTTTTGTTTTGTTTGCACTCAGATGGTGTATACATTTTACAAAGTAAATAATAAATCAATAAAGTTATCAGATGTGCAGAAAATCAGAAGAGAGATTTTGCTTAAGCAAGTTTAATTTCTCTAGTGGGCAAGATTGGGTTTTCACAAGGCACAGCCACAGAACAATGGAGAAAGCTCTTGTGTGTACTCAAAATAAAAAAAATCCTTCCAGTAGCACCTTAAAGTAAAGGTAAAGGGAGCCCTGACCATTAGGTCCAGTCGTGACCAACTCTGGGGTTGCGGCGCTCATCTCACTTTATTGGCCGAGGGAGCCGGCGTACAGCTTACGGGTCATGTGGCCCAGCATGACTAAGCCGCTTCTGGCGAACCAGAGCAGCGCACGAAAACGCTGTTTACTTTCCCGCCGGAGTGGTACCTATTTATCTACTTGCAGTTAAATGTGCTTTCAAACTGCTAGGTTGGCAGGAGCAGGGACCAAGCAATGGGAGCTCACACCATTGCAGGGATTCGAAGCGCTGTCCTTCTGATCGACAAGCCCTAGGCTCTGTGGTTTAACCCACAGCGCCACTGCGCACCTTAGAGACCAACTAAATATGTTATTGGTATGAGCTTTCATGTGCATGAACACTTCTGAAAGCTCATACCAATAACAAACTTAGTTGGTCTCTAAGGTGCTACTGGAAGGATTTTTTTTATTTTGTTTCAACTACGGCAGACCAACACGGCTACCTACCTGTAACTTGTGTGTACTGTTCGGCAGTATACAGTTATCCCTTGAAATTCACACTTCTCTGAATTTTTGGACGCAGTTCTCCAGCCAAATAATGTATGCAAAATTGCTTGTGTTGGTGGACAGTAATATAAACAAGGAATAATATTAGGAGTGCTTGCTCTCCAAAAAGTGCATATTAGGAAAAATGTTGCTGTAAGCTACTGACAAATTTCCATGAGTGAAACTAATATAACCTAAAGCTAATGTAGAATTGTAGAGAAATGAAGTTGGTAACTGTCAGAAAGTGGGCAAAATTGAAATAGACAAACACATCTCCCCCAGTTACAGTTTAAGGAAGTTCAAAAAGGGCACTGGGACACACAAAAAAGTCACCACCATGCGCACCTAAGTAAGACTCACTCCACAATCTCTTACAACTCAAAAAAACGAAGGAACCCCGCCCAAGAACAGTCATTTGCTTGAGCCTGTGACTTCAATTGTCCTTGCTCAAGTTCTTGCATTAGAAGCTCGTCTCAGGAAATGGTTCAGACGGTGGGGAAATAGCGTTGTTTAGCCAAGAGGAAGTTCAGGTTATTACACACACAAAATGCTTTTGATTTGGCTTTTCCTTTGTAATATTAAAACCATAGAATGGTAGAATGGTAGAGTTGGAAGGGAACCTGAGGGTCATCTAGTCCAACCCCCTGCAATGCTGGAATCTCAACTAAAGAATCCCTGACAGATGGCCACCCAACCTCTGCTTGAAAACCTCCAGTGAAGGAGAGTCTATCACTTCTTGTAGGAGTCTGATCCACTGTCAAATACAAAGTTCTTCCTGATGTTTAGTCAGAACCTTGTAACTTGAAGCCATTGGTTTGGGTCCTACCCTTTGGAGCATCAGAAAACAATCTTGTTCCATCTTCCATGTCACAGCCCTTGAGATATTTGAAGCCGGCTATTGTATCTCCTTTCAATCTCCTCTTTACCTGGCTAAACATCCCCAATTCCCTCAACCATTCCTCATAAGGCTTGTTTTCGAGACCCTTGATCATCTTTGTCATCCTCCTCTGCACACATTCCAGCTTGTTATAAAATTATAGAGTTGTAGAGTTGTAGAGTTGAAAGTGACCCCGAGGGTAATCTAGTCAAATCAAATCAAATACCTTTATTGGCATCACAGTATAAAACATTTCAGGTCACTGGGATAATTAAAAGGGGCAAGGGTGAAGCTGCGAGGATCATAACATCACATTGTGATCGTGTGCACTTAGGTATTCTGCTTCGCCCTCTCTGTTTCCCAAAAGGATGGTTTGTTGGGAACCCTTTCAGGTAAAATTGAGGCTAAAAAGGAAGCTACTAAAACAGTAATATCTTTGTCCCGATCTGCCAGGAGAGACCTCAATTTACTTCTTTTCAGAGTTTTAGGCTAGCATCAGTTGGCGAGGTCTACTGTGTAAAGAGCAAGCCAAGAGATTGAATCGGGTCCTCCTTGGTTGCAGGCACACAGATGGGCTTGATATGGAATATGTGAGAATCTACCTGTGGTCACTGCAGAGGGGAAGGCATTTAGTCTCGCAAGCATAAAGACTCTTTGATGGGAAGGGAGTAATAGGTCCTTTAGATATTTGGCACAGGTCCCGTAGTGTGTTGTGATCCCTAAGGCCTGCAGAGAACAGGATCTCGGAGTATGAGGTAACAAACGCTGTGTTTCGTGGTTGTAGAGCCGCTGTTTGATTGTGTGGAATATGTAATTTTCATCACATGCTTCAAGGCTCTCAAGAGCAATGCCCAAACTACAGATTTTATCTTGAATTGCTCTATGCCATCCAGATGCAATAAGGCTTTCAATCGTAGAGATTAAAAAGGATTTAGATGTTGTTCTAAAGTGGACTTTCAGCCAGGCCTTGATTGTAGTAAGCCATGCAATGGTTTCCATCAGATGTTGACCAGTTTCAACACATAAGGTTAAGTAGCTTATGCATTTAGGGGCACCAAGGATCTTACGAAGAAAAGTCACTTGAATTTGTTCAACTTCTCTGTTAAATGCTTGTATCCAAATTGGAATACCGTACAATAACCTTGGCATTAAGAATTTTTATAGCAGAGACCATATGGTTGCCTCTGAGGAAGAAAAAGTGAAGAATCGCAGATGTGGTGCATTTTGCTTGGGCGATCATTTGGCGTCTGTGTGTTGTCCAATTTAAATTTGGCTGATAGAATATCCCTAGGTATTTACAGGATTTTACCTGGTCAATGGGGTGATTATCTAGCCTCCATTTGACAGTTTGACGGTTTTAGATTTTTCATAATTAATTCCCAGGGAGTTGATCTGGCAGAAGGAAGAAAACGAACTTAGAAGTCTTCTAAGACCGACCTGGGTCTGAGAAAGTATTGTAGTATCATCTGCATATAGAAGCAGTTTTATTTTATGTTGGCCTAATGTCCGTGGATGTCCATTTACATCCTCAAAGTGATGAGCCAGGTCATTTAAAAAAAGATTGAATAAGTGGGGCGACAAGACGTATCCTTGCTTTACTTCTTTGGTTATATTTATACTTTTTGTCAACTCGCCTTGGGGGTTACAATGTGACAGAATGTAGCGGTGTGTAATTTTTGAATTAGAAACAGCAGGCGTTGGTCAATTCCCATTTTATATAATTTGCACCAAAGTAGATCACAGGGGACTGTGTCAAAAGCTCCTTTTAACTCTAGGAAGGCCACGTCAAGTTCTTTCCTCCCATTTTCCATGCATTTTTCTGCGAGATGTGAAAGGATTATGCAATGATCAGTGGTGGGTTTGCCATGGCAGAAGCCTATTTGTTCAGGCCCAAGGATCTTATTAGATGTCATCCAGTCCTTCAATTTCTTTTCCAAATGTCAGGCATACATCTTACCAAGGATTGTTAGAAGACTTAAAAGGTAAAGGTAAAGGACCCCTGACAGTTAAGTCCAGTTGCAGATGACTCTGGGGTTGCGGCGCTCATCTCGCTTTACTGGCCGAGGGAGCCGATGTTTGTCCGCAGACAGTTTTTCCAGGTCATGTGGCCAGCATGACTAAGCAGCTTCTGGCGAAAACAGAGCAGCACATGGAAACACCATTTACCTTCCCGCCGGAGCGCTACCTATTTATCTACTTGCACTTTGACGTGCTTTCAAACTGCTAGGTTGGCAGTTATCAGACAGTAATTCTCAGGCAACTTCGGGTTACCTTTTTTGAATATAGGAGTGATGATGAAGTTTAGCCAAACATCTGGTAGTACCCCAAATTTGTCAATTAAAGTGAATAAATTGGCTAATAGAAGGGCCCGCCAATCTGGACTGTGCCTTAAAAGTTCACCAGGGATCCCGTCTGGTCCTGGGGATGTCTTTGGTGGGTCATCTAGTCTAACCCCTTACCATGCAGGAATCTCAGCTAAAACATCCACAACAGATGGCTGATTAAAAACTTCCAATGAAAGAGAGTCTGCAACCTCCCAAGGGAGTCTGTTCCAATGCTGTTCTTAAATTTTGGTGTCCACAACTGGACGCAGGACTCCAGGTGTGGTCAGACCAAGGCAGAAAATAGTGTTACTATTACCGTACTTTCCTTGATTGGAAAACTAGACCTCTTCTGATGTAGTCTTGAATTGCATTAGCTTGCTCTTGCCTTTTCTTTTGATGCTGCTGCTGCTGCTGCTGCTGCATCACACTGACTTGGTCAGTCAGTTAAGAGCAGCAGAAGAGCCTTACTGGACCAAAGGATTGACTGTGGTTGGCCAAATTACCTCCAAGATGGCTGCAACATTCCTTAAGGAACCATGCTTTTCCGTTGTTTGTTCCGGGCACCTGGTGCTCAAGAGTACACTGCCACTAGGTATGGTGGTTGCACTTAGTTATCACAGCTGATGGCAGGCAGGACATTTCTCCTTCACAGATTATCCTGTGCCAGTAACACTCAGAGGAGACCCATTGAAATCAGTATGCATGACTGACTTGTGGCTGCTTATTCCCGTCCATCTAACACAGCAGCAAACCCATTCTCCAAGTGAGAAGTTTGCAGGTAGCCAAAACAGCATCATCCATGCACAAGAGGAAACTCAAAAGTTTGCAGAAATAGAAAAATATTTAAAGTGGAGAACATAAGGAAGGGAGGACCCCTACCCTGCCCCATGAAGCCCAGTGCAGACTGTGCACATATCAATGGGCATCGAACATTGGCTGGGTATTGGTGAGCAGTGTCCTGGAAGGGGGCATGATTGGCTAGCACTCTAAACAGGAACAGCTGCGTGCTGCAACATATCATTGCAGCTACCCTTGTCCTCCCCCCACCCCACCCCAAAAAGCCAACAGCTGGTGGCTGTGAAGTCCTCTTCCTGCAGACCAGGAACTTCACTTGATGCATCTTTGTAAACTCTGAGTTCTACCTTTAATGTGCAGTTTTAAAACACAGCCTCAATTCATTAATAAGGTGGGTTACAAGTGAAGAGAGCTAGGGACACCTATCCATGCCAATAGCTTAGTGGTGATATGCTAATGGTCCAGTAAAATATGGCAGATAAAATACAACTAAAGCTAGCAGAGCCACAGATTCAAAAGCAGCCATTTTCCATCTTTGGTCAATGGCCAAAGAACTTCTGGAATATGTGGGAGGGGTGTTCCTGTCTAAGTGTCAGCAAAGAGATGCCGGCACAGATCACACCCTGCCTTCAGCCATGGCAAGAAGGGCACAGAACTGGGCCTCTGCCCATTTGCATCTGCCCTGGGAGAAATTAAATTTCACAGTAAGGATGCCAGTAGAAAGCATTCAGCAGAGAAAGAATGAAATGCCAAAGCACTGAGTTATTGCTACGTTTTTCTCAAGCTTTGAACTCCTCCTAGCTCTTCGGGTGGGATCAAAATAAGTGGGATAGTAAGTGTAAAAGGTAAAGGTAAAGGTACCCCTGCCCGTAAGGGCCAGTCTTGACAGACTCTAGGGTTGTGCGCCCATCTCACTCTATAGGCCGGGGGCCAGCGCTGTCCGGAGACACTTCCGGGTCACGTGGCCAGCGTGACATCGCTGCTCTGGCGAGCCAGAGCCGCACACGGAACGCCGTTTACCTTCCCGCCAGTAAGCAGTCCCTATTTATCTACTTGCACCCGGGGGTGCTTTCGAACTGCTAGGTTGGCAGGCGCTGGGACCGAACAACGGGAGCGCACCCCGCCGCGGGGATTCGAACCGCCGACCTTTCGATCGGCAAGCCCTAGGCGCTGAGGCTTTTACCCACAGCGCCACCTGTTAATAGTAAGTGTATTAGTTAATAAATAGACACCATGTACAAAAAGCCACTGGCACCATTTTATCCTAGGCACAGGTGTTCCAGAAATGTGCTCTCTTGTTCATAGAACCAGCATGAACTCAGGAAAGCTGGCTCAGATTCCAGCTTTAAAGCATTTTTGTTTAGAGCTGGCCAGGGTCTCTGTCTCTGTCTCTGTCTCTGTCTCTGTCTCTGTCTCTCTCTCTCTCTCTCTCTGTGTGTGTGTGTGTGTGTGTGTCTCTGTCTCTCTCTCTCTCCCCCCCCCTTCTCTCTCTCTCTCTGTGTGTGTGTGTGCTTGTATGCTTCCACTGGAAAACAAGCAAGGCTGGAAATAGCCTGCTAAAATTAAATTTAGGCAAGTGTAGCCGGGAAACAGCTTTGTTTTATAAAATAATAATAATAATCCAAAATATTTGCACAACATCTGGTTCCATTTAGCATGCTTCCAAGCAAACAGAAAATGCTCCACAAGCACTTCAGTTCCTACTTAGCCAACTGAAATTCTGCTAGCCATGATGGCTTCATCCTGTACCTCCAGTGTTGGAGGCAGGGTGCCTTCGACTGCTAATTGCTGGTAATCCAAAGCAAGGAAAACATGATTGCTCTCAAGGTCTGTTTGCAGGCTTCCCATTGGCGGACCTGGTTGGCCACTGGGAGGACGGGATGTAGGTCTAGGTGTCTGGATGGCTAAGCTGACTAACTTTAGCAAACCCAGACACTTTCCATCATGTGGTTGCTTATTAATTTACAGTGTTTTGTATTGTTCTTCATCCAGCTGAGCTCCAAGCCTGTGAACAGGGATGGAGCAGGAGAAGGAAATCTGTTCAGCATATGTTTCAATGTATATGCATTTTAAGGCATGCTACAGATGTCAGCTTCATGAGCCAAGAAACAAATAAAAATGCAGCTATCCTTTGAAATCTGTAGTTCTGCTCCCCCCCCCAGTGCAGTTCTCCAGCCAAAAAGGTGTACAAAAGGCATCTATTAAGAACCACGTGCACAGATGTGTATATTAGTGAGAATCATGTACAAAAACATCTTACAGAGAATTGTTTGCAAACAAAATTCGCATAGAGAAATCTACAAAGTTTCATGTACTTTTTACTTATATTTTTTAATGCAAATTGATGTGGAAATGGAGCTGAATTTGAGACTGGGGGCATAAGTAAAAATGGAAAAATGAGAAATTGAGTCTAAGAGATGCATCCATTCCTACCAGTCTGTCACACAACAAAGAGAAACTTGAGGTCTAGCGCATTTATTACAACAAAAGCTTTGCACAGACTATTATTATTTGTTACGTTTGTTAATCACATTATACCCAAAGGGGGGGGGGCGGGGAAGGGTCTCAAAGCAACTTGCATTGAGATAGAATGCAAACGGACAAAATCAATTAAAAACCAGAAAATTGAAAACAATGCACAATCTATAAGGGAGCTATCGTGTGGCTGGCAAAAATGCTTTTTTCCTTCAGGGTCTTTGGGGATTCTGGAGCCATGACGCCTCCTGGCTAGATGGACCTGCCTGTCAGCTGGTAACCAGGTCAGGGCCCTAGAATCAAAATACCTTCCAATTCAGAGGCTGACCCTGCCTAGTGATGCCCTCTCTTGAACCCATGACCTTCTGCATGCAAAGCAGGTGCTCTGTCACTGAATTACGGCCTTTCCCTGGAATACTCTCCCCGGACTGGTTTTCCTGATGCTTCTGCTGCTGCTGCTGCTGCTGCCCTCCTTGTTGCCAGGCAAACATGCTATTGTACTCCTGCTGCAACCTTTAAAAGCCACTGTAAAACGAAAGCATCTTGGCTTGCTCTGCTACTGACTCTTAGCTGCATTTTTTTATTTGTTACGCCTTGCAAATTCAAGCTTAAATGGCTTGCCTTGCATACTGTGCATTAGCTGTTTTGATTGCATTTGTGCTCAAGATACCAGGATACAACCTCGACTCTGCTAATGATGATAAAGTCAGGGCGCTCAGGTGGCAGTGGTGTGGGGTGAAACCCCCCACCTAATATATACTTTCCACCATTTGGGGCATCCATGCTTTTTTCTCATTTCTTGCAGCGCACGAACGGACATGCCCACCCTGACCCCTTGGTCGGCGCCCATCATCTGGGATGGAACAGTCGGGAGACCGGTCTTGGACAACTACTATAAGCAGCAGAAAGTCACCATTGGCCTGACGGTTTTCGCTATTGGGAGGTAAGTTCACTTGTAGCCCAATCTGATGCACGTTACTCTTGAGTAAGTCTCCTTGTGTTCAGTGGCACTAGCTCACAAGTAAAGTATGGATCAGGATTGGGGCCTGCTTCTTGCTTGCCAGACTTTTCCTGGCTGGATGTGCAAAGCAACATCCATTGTCCGGCCACGTATTTTATTTATTACCCGTCCTTTGCCTTAAGGACCCAGGGCAGGTTTCAACAATTACAACACAAAAAAAGTGCAAAATAACTTAAGATTGCAGCTGTAAGGCGGGTTCTAAAAATTGCACCTCCTTACCCTTGAAATGTGCATCTTCAGCATTCATTAGAAGCTGGGCAATGAAGGTGCCAGGCACTCCTCTCTGGGGAGAGGTTTCCACAGGGTAGGGGCTGCCACAGAGAAGACCCATTCCTAGCCTGCAACACACACACACTGAGCTTATGAGGGTGGTGTAGCAACCAAGAGGGCCCTATCTGCCAATCGTAGCACCAAAGAGAGCCTGTCAGAAAGGAGGCAGTCTTTCAGGTATTTGTCACATTCTGAGTCACAATGACCCTTGGTCACCTCCGTTGCCCTTCCTCTGGGCAAACCCGCCATAAGAAGAGTCTACTGGATCAGGCCAAGGGCTTTAAAAGAAGATCAGACAAATTCATGGAGGAGAAGGCTGGCAAAAGCTACTAGCCACAATGACTATTCTCTGCCTCTAAGGTCAGAGGTGGTAAATGCTTCTTAATTCCTTGATGGGAGTTGGAGAGAGAATGCTCTTGTGTTTGGATCAAGCATGTGGGTTTCTCATTGAGTCATCTGGTTGGCCACTGTGAGAACAGAATGCTGGCCTAGATCCAGCAATCTGGTGTTCTTCTGGTGGGTTTGCCCAGAGGAAGAGCAACGGAGGTGACCAAGGGTTCTTCTTCTGCTCTTAATTGGGTGCTGATTCACATCTGAAAAACAATGTTGGTCTCAGTCCAAAGTTGAGCACTGGAACCCTCACCCTGCTTTAAAGTCAGCTTCTGGGACCCTGGGTTAGGAGATCTGCCCAGAACCCACCTGTCTCCATTTGTCCCTCTCCATTCCCCAGGTACCTAGACAAATACTTGAAGAACTTCTTGACTTCTGCAAACGCTTTCTTCATGACTGGGCACAATGTGATCTTCTACATCATGGTGGACGACCTCACCAAAGTGCCTCTTATTGAGCTGGGCCCCCTGCGGGTGCTGAAAGTCTTCCAGGTGAAAAGGGAGAGCCGGTGGCAAGACATCAGCATGATGCGGATGAAGGTGATTGGGGACCTAATCGAGAGCCACATCCGCCACGAGGTGGACTTCCTCTTCTGCATGGATGTTGACCAGGTCTTCCAGAGTGACTATGGGGTGGAGACCCTTGATGAGTCTGTGGCCCAGCTCCATGCTTGGTTTTACAATGCAGACAATACTGCGTTCACTTATGAGAGGCGTCCTGAGTCGGCTGCGTACATCCCCTATGGGGAAGGGGACTACTATTACCATGGGGCCATATTTGGGGGGACCCCACTGCGTGTTCTGAACCTCACCCGTCAATGCTATCAAGGCATCAAGGAGGACAAGGAACACAACTTTGAGGCGGTGTGGCATGACGAAAGCCACCTGAACAAATATTACCTCCTCAACAAACCAACCAAGGTGTTATCCCCTGAGTACTGCTGGGATTATAAAATTGGCATCCCCAGCGCCATAAGAAATGTCAAGTTATCCTGGATGCCCAAAGAATATGGTGAAGTTAGAAGTAACTTATGACTCCGCGGCCCTCCTCAAATCACGCCGGCAGGGGTCGACGAACTGTTTCGGTCGCAGAACCGTTTGAGCATTTCAACTCTCGTCCTCTGCAGGAAGGAGAACAAACTTTGCCAAAATATTTTAGTTCACTAAACTGTGACGCTCTCTCAGCTCTTCTCTATAGATTCCTTGGAAGGCTTGTAGGAACCAGGTGTCGGAAGAGCCTTTTACGAACAGGTTGTTGATTTGGTTGCTGATCTTTTGCTCTCAGGAAATTCTGTTGATGTTGGGAACATTTGTGGAAGCAGCACACAGATACGTGCCAAGCTAAGATCCCTCCACAGTGTGGCACGGTGACATCAGAGAGGTTGGCAAGATGGTCATTGTATTCCTTGGATGTGCAAAGAAGGGAGAGTTGGAACCACCAAGGGGTCAGGAGGGTAGCAGTAAATGGGGGAGGGGTGGTGTCACCAAGGCCAGGAGGTTGCAGGAAAGCCGGTGCAAATGCAGAAGGTCACTGAGAATGTCAGAATGTGTGTGTTTTTAAACAAAGATTTTTGAATGACGGTCTAATTGTTCAGTTTTGTTTCCCCCCCAAATGAGGATCACTGTACAGACAACATAAACCTCAATGGGGGCAATGTGAGGGGGGTCTCACTTTATTAATGCCAATTTGGGGGTTTTTTGCTACCAAAGAACAGGTTCATGTCGTCGTTTGTTTTTAAAAGCAAAGAAACATGTTTCCTTAGCTGCCGTCCAGTGGTTGAAAGCTCCCTCATTTTGCTACATTTGTTCTCTTCTTCACGTATATCATTTTCCCACCTTAAATCTTGTTTTGGCTGCTGCCCATGGTGGTCCCAATTGCTACAACATCTTTCCCTCGCCGGCAGGTGCTGTCTTACGGGGTTCCAGACAGGGAGTTGTTCTGGGGCATTGTGGAAGGCCGTAAAGGTGGCATCTCCCACGGCCTACCACTTTTTGCGGCAGTTGCTATGTCATGTCCCCGCACACAACCTCGTGGAATGATGACCTGTTGGTGCACTGTGGTTAAGTAACATGGCAGCCACAGAGTCAACTGCTGAGAATATCTGTGTTAGAAGAAGAAGAGTTTGGATTTGCTATCCCACTTTATCACTACCCAAAGGAGTCTCAAAGCGGCTAACATTCTCCTTTCCCCTTCCTCCCCCACAACAAACACTCTGTGAGGCGAGTGGGGCTGAGAGACTTCAGAGAAGTGTGACTAGCCCAAGGTCACCCAGCAGCTGCATGTGGAGGAGCGGGGAAGCGAACCCGGTTCACCAGATTACGAGTCCACCGCTCTTAACCACTACACCACACTGGCTCACAGTTAGTACCACTGCTGCCTGAGAGGTAAACTCTCTCGCTCCCCACAACCATCATTGCGGTGCTCCCCAACACAGCCTGATTGCGATTCCCATTTGTATCCTGTTTCTTCCTTTGTGTATTTCTTTTTGCTGCGAAAATGGAAGCCCTTCCACTCAGCCAAAGGTGATTGTTTTGTTAATTTATTTGGTTGCAAATGATCCTGAGATAATAAATGCAAATCCTTATTTTATCAAAATCTTATGTGTTTGTGCTGGGAGTTGCATCCTGGAGGAAGATGTCTGTGTAATGGCGCCACAGGGATATTAGTTGGGTTGGGTTTTTGCCTGGGGGTGGGGAAATTGTTTTTATTGTTGCTGCTGCTATTGCGGAGCACTACCCCACTTTCCAAGCAGTGGAAGGTTCCAGGCATGATTCCAGGCAGGGTCCAGTTTCCTTGGAATGAGGGACAGCAGGGGCTGTGATGTGCCTTTAGGATATATGGTTCATTTACACATATACACATAAATGAACACATGTTCATTTACACTGCCTTCTGGTGGTTCCCTCCCTGCGAGAAGCCAAGTTACAGGGAACCAGGCAGAGGGCCTTCTCGGTAGTGGCACCCGCTGTGTGGAAAGCCCTCTCACCAGATGTCAAAGAGAACAACCTCCACCAGGCTTTTAGAAGACATTTGAAGGCAGCCCTGTTTAGGGAAGCTTTTAATGTTTAACAGACTACTGTATTTTAATACTTTGTTGGAAGCTACCCAGCCAGATGTGTGGGGTATAAATAATAAATTATTATTATGATGATGATTATTATTACTATTATTATTAATCCTGAGCCTGAGATGGAGGGGCTCACATCATCAAACCTGAGAAGCTTTCGCTCCTCCCATAGTCATGGCTTGGATTCCATTGTAAATCTTGCATTGCTGTCACTCTCTGGCTTCTTCCTGCTTCTAGCACACACACACACACACACACACACACACACACACACACACACACACACATGCACACACACACACATGCACACTGGCTGTTGCCCTTCTCACTAGCAGCCAAGGGAGGGAGGAGGCCCACCCAATTGCCCTTTGGCACAAAACCAGTTATACTAAAAACAGTACTTAAGAAGGAACTACAGCCACTAGTTCGCAGAGAGACTTGCATGGAATGCATAGCTTGGCTATGGATTCCTCCGTTAAATTTTAACCCTTGCTGGATACAGGACCCCAGGGATTAGAAGGGACTCGGGCATCATCATGCTGATTAACCCTCCGCTGCTGCCACCATGCAAACTCACATTATGATTAGAATGAATTAGCTGCCTTTCACCCTAAGGTCCTAGGGCGGTTTGCATTATTAGAGCACAATATTAAAAATGGTTTGAAACAACTCACAATGACAGATATCCTAAAAATATCTCAAGTTTCAAAAGGCCAGGGTAATGAGGGCTCATCTTCAGCATTCACCGCAAGCTCTACAATGAAGGGGCCAGGCACAACTCTGTGGGGCAGGTGTTCCATAATTTCACTGCCACAGAGAAGACCTTCTCCTGGGCCACCAACCCCCAAGCTTCTGAAGGTGAAGGAACAACCCAGAGGGCTCCTTGTGCTGGTCTTAGTACCCAAGGGCAGCAGGCAGCCTTCCAGATATCTGCGGTCTGAGTCATTCAGTGCTTTAAATGCTAAGTGAGCAGCTTGAATTGGCCCTGGAAACAAAATGGTGACCAGTGCAGCTGTTCTAAACAGATCTAGAGATCTAAGCAGAACCCCAGCCAATAATCTGGCCGCTGCATTTTAGACCAACTGAAGTTTCCGAGTCATCTTCAAGGGCACCCCACGGAAAGTGCATTGCAATAATCTAGACTGAAAGTTACCAGAGCATGCAGTACAGTTGCCAAGTCAGCTCTGTCCAAATGGGGCCAGATCAGGATTATGCATTTAAAAAGCAAACAAACAAAACCCCCTACAGACTGACACCCCATTCTGGTGATAATCCAGCACACAGAATATCTAGCATTGAAGGATGAGTCTTCAGGGATATGGCAAAAAGATTTCCTTTTTTTAGCAGAATGTAATCAAGCATTATGGGGGAGGGATGAGGTTAACAGCATGGAAAACTAATAAAATGCTATCATTTAAAACATTGATTCTTGATGCACAGCTGAGAAACCCTAATTATATTGTAATAACGTGGATCAACAATGCTAAACCTGAGTAGCAACAGCAGCAGCAGAAAGTGATTTGGGCTTTGAGAACGAAAGGGTGAGAGATGCTCAAATAAATTGATAATTATATAGAGCACCTCACCTCCAGCTGGTCCAGGTGCAGCCTCCTGGGCTTGGACCCATCCACTCAGCCTCCTTCTAGGACAGGGTGGGCCTCTGCCATCAAGGTAGCTTAGCCCCCATTCCATGGGAACAGAGGAGCCCCACTGTGCAGACTGGGAGCCCTGTCCCTATGCCATCAGCTGCATCAGCCGCAAACAAGGAAATGCTTCTGGCCCTCCAGCAGGTAGAACCCCAAACCACCCTGGGACCTACTCCAGCCACTGGGTACATTCCAACCTCACAAGGTCTGTGCTCATCTTTGTAAAGGAATCATTCGCTTTTTCCTGGGTCTCTGGGTCAGGGGATTAGCCTAGCCTCAGTAGCTATCAAGCCTAGTACCATTGCCACATGGCTCTGCATTGTGGGTGCGCATTGGGTATCTCCTTACAGGATGGTGTGAGTTCCAGTATCTCAATGCTGTCCTCCCAATTGATGGTGCAGCCACATTTGGCACACTGCAGAGTGCACAGCCCTGGCCTCTCTACCTCAAAACAGGTCTTTGAGAGCTGGTGTCAGGGTGCTGTCAGCGGCTCCCAGCTGGTTGCCCATTAAATGATAAAGACAAGGAAAAGTTACAGTAATTTTTTTTTCAAAATTTACACAGAGAGACTATAGATCCCATCCTCTTGGATAATGGCATTGTCCCATGTGAATATGCCCCCCCCCCTTTCTCTCCCACTTCCTCATTCGTTATCCAACAGCTAGGAAAAGTCTTAGATATCTGGTGGTATAAATTACCCTGAAGTTGAACAAGTTGTATCAATTTAATTATAGTACAGAATGGAAAGCTCTAAATATGGATATAGTACGTTGGAATAAATGAAGACTCTCCATTATGGACCAAACTAGTTGCATTGAAAACAATGATTGTGCCTCCATTTCTTTTCTTCCAGACTTGGGTGAACGCCTGAGATGGATGAAGACCCTGGAACCTGTCCCTAAAGGAATCCAATGAAGCCCACCTACCCGTGGAAGCAAGATAGGGGAGACCTGGCCATACAAGGGATAGGCATACCTAACCCCCCAAAAGAGAACCCCCAAAGAAGCCCCAAAAGTGGAGAAAGGGGGCATCCAAGGCATCTGAGGGAACAAAATAACCCTGGAGGAAAGGCCTAAAAAACACTCCAAAAGCTTCTTTCGGCTGATGCCCCCCTAGCCCTCTCCCTCCCTCCGAAGCCAGCAGCCCAATTTGGGCAGAGGCTGGCACCCCTCTCCCTGCTCACCACTGCCACCTGAGGGCCCTGACTTTATCATCATTAACAGAGTCGAGGTTGTATCCTGGTATCTTGAGCACAAATGCAATCAAAACAAGCTAATGCACAGTATGCAAGGCAAGCCGTTTAAGCCTGAATTTGCAAGGAGTAACAAATTAAAAATGCAGCTAAGAGTCAATGACAGAGCAAGCCAAGATGCTTTCGTTTTACAGTGCCTTTTAAAAGGTTGCACCAGGAGTACAACAGCACGTTTGGCAGGCACCAAGGTGGGCAGCAGCGGAAAGTATCTTGCAGTCCTGAGACCCCAGAGAACTGTTCCAATTCTGTACATAGTATTTTGCCTGCTGTGATAGGGTCAGAGGTGCATAAAATTATATCCTCTGCAAAGAGGCCTGAATTTTGTTCATTTCCGTTTGCAACCACTCTTGTACCAGAGAGGGCATTGCATAACTTGATTGCTAATGGTTCTAGAATTAATACAACTACCAGGGCTGACAGAGAGCATCCTTCCTTCAAACCTAAAAGATCCCAATATTTCCATATAAGGGAGTTACTCTGAACCCTTGATAATTTTGGTGGTTCCTTTCTCAACCTTTCCAGGTGTCAGGGGCTGGTAGAGGAGCAGGAATGGTGGACACCACCTCCCCATCCTGACCCTTCCAGGGAAGAGGAAGAGGTACACAGTATAGATACAACAGTGGCTTGTGGGAGGTCCTCCTGCTATTGGATTATGCCCTAGTGTCCAGTTGATCCCATGGGGAAGAATTTTCTCCCTCTTCTTGTCTCTTCCATGGATGAATAGCCCTGCCCTGCTGCTGTTGCCATAACAGATTCCGTCTGTCAAGATGCTCTGCTATTCCCCTTCTTTTCATGGTAAACATAAGGGTGATTCCCCCCCACACCCTGTGGTCCTCAAACGCACCCGCGCTCAGTCTTAATTCAAGTCAGCATCCCACCCTGGGAGCCCTTGGAACTGGCGTCATATGAGCCTGTTTCCTGCTGTCACCACGGTGACCTCCAAGATTCAAACTGGCCAGAGAATGTTATGATGCAAAAGGCAGTTGGCCAGAACTGAAGGTGCCAAGATAGAAAAAACATCCGTTGGGGAAGAGTAACTGACATTATGACAAGTTTGAGTGGCAACAAGCTCTACCATACGCTCTTCCCCTGGTTGGCATCTCCCAAATTTGACCGGGTTAATCTGGACGTCTACTGAACTCACAAGCCCCGACTAAACCTGTTAAACTCATCTGTTTCTATAATTTGTTGAGATAGGGGTTACAACAGCAACAAAAATCATCATTCCTCTAAAG